CCAGGCGGTTGCAGAGGCAAAAACTCGGGTCTGGGAAGAGTTCGGTGAGGCCATGGAGAAGGACTATCGGTCGGCCTCGAAGAGATTCTGGCAAACCGTCCGGCGCCTCAGGAGGGGGAAGCAGTGCCCTGCCGAAACTGTTTACAGTGGGGGAGGGCAGCTGTTGACCTCAACTGGGGATATTATCAGTTATATTCAAAGTGAAGCAGTGTGCCCCTGATGCTCTCCTTATTTAATCCTGGCTGGGGACATCACTACTGCAGTGGTTCCCCCCCAAGGCCAATTACTCCACAACAACACAATTGAAGAAATGAATGCAAATATCATGCTGCATGAATGATATAAAATAAAACTAAATCACCAACATCATTTATAAAACACCAGAAAAGTGTTAGCTGTATTAGTGTAGTAGTACTGTATTAGTAAAGAAAAAAAAAGCAAAATGATCAAATCTCACCTTTCTTTGGCTCAAAATTGTACAAATTTATATTTGACAGACACATTCAGATCATGGCTATAGCACGTCTCAGAGTATAAGAATAAAGACAACAACAGCCCCCGATGCACTCTAACCTCTTTTAAGCATTTGAGTTTTCACAGATAATTATAGAGGTTATACAGCAGCTTCCCACACCTCACCACCGGCTATATAATCATAGCCTGGAAATGTGCCAGGCAAATGCACATCATTTTCAATAAGAGTACTCACATAGTCCAATTTTTTTGTAATGGAGAAAGATAATTAATGCTTTAATGTTTTGGTCTTACCACTCTTACCACAGCGAGAGAAGTGAATTGTTACATTTTAATCAGAGAAGCAGCATTGCTGGCTTCCTGCGCAACACGGATGATTTTAGAATTGCACACAAGGGTGACTAACTCAAGGCTCATTAAAGCAATTTTTCAGCTGGGCTATTTCTTGGCAGGACAATACATTTATTTGTTCATTGTACTGATAAATAAATTCTGTTATTAATCTTTTTTTATTCCCTCTCAGTTTTAATGTGACCAGCAACACAATAAAGCAATGAACAAGAAATAATCTCCCAAGAAAATGTCTTTAATGAATTGTTTGTTGCTGCTTGTACCTCAGGTTACATGAAAATACATTTAAATTGACTGCAAGTATGGCAACATATTCACACATATAAACAAGTGGTGCATTTGTACTGTATGTATAGATATGTACAACAGAAACACATTACACTCTGGTTTAAAGTTGTGCAAGTGTGTTACTAACAATTTATAAAATTCAACACTAAATTAAAAAAGAAGAGTGTGCCCATGTATATACACATTCACACGCGCACAACCACAGTAGTTCACAAAAGATTAAAGCAAATGCACTGGATTATACATCTCCAGGTCACCTTTAGGTTGACCCCCAACTATTCCTCACAAATTGCCTGTGTGGTTTTGACGTCAGCATTATCAGGTGTGTGTGTGTGTGTGTGTGTGTTTTGCTTATATACTGTAGCTCAGAACTGACACAGTGACAGACACACACACACACACACACACACACACACACACACTAGACTATGCTGCAGCCTGCAGTTGCACCATCAGCTAAATGTTTTAAGTACAGTCATCTGAGGTAGACTGTGCAGAACTTCATGGTGTTACTCTCTCGCTTTTTTTTTTATTATTTTCAATGCATTTTTCACAAATGTCTGATATTTGGAAAGATGTAAATCAAATACGTGTGTTTTGTAGCCATGAGGTAGAAATGCTTTAAAGAAGGGTCCATTAAAAGAAAGGTTTCCCAAAAAAACAAAGATTTAAACACCATGTAGAAAAAGATTGAGACAAAAGAAAGACCACAAAGCACCCAAAAACAACCGTAGCATGGTCCAGTGTGTTTCAAGTTTTTTTTTAAGGCCTGTGCTGTTGTTGTGTGCTCTGAAGTGCATTAGTAGTTTTTCTGTCTAGAGGGACTCTCTCTCCAGAGGATTTGCTGACAGAAGGAATTCTGGGGGAGATAGTTTTGAGGGTGGTTTTCTGACGGACCACTCTGCTTTCCCCTTGTTTTGCTGCCACACTGCCTGGCTGTCAATTTTGCTGATGCTCAGCAGAAGTCCCCACCCCCACCCCACCACCAACAACATCAGGTGCTGCACTGATAGTGCCAAGACCAGACATAGCAGCACAGAGTACCTGTATGGTGATATAAAATGCAGGATGAATTAGTCTAAAACTGATCATTGTTTCAAACTGTAGACTGTACAAAAAAATGGACGACACATCACTAGTTCCTGACACTGCAAAAGTGAAGCCAAAATATGAAAATACAAGGGCAGCCATCTTGATTTTGTGATGCATTTTGCAACCAGATCCTGCACAAGATAGACCAGAGGTGGAGCTGCGGTATTAGACTGCCAATCAAAGCTGTCAGACCACCTGAAATGCACCCTTTTTTAAATCACCAACAAAAGCAAACACACAGTAACAGAAGAATGCCCACGTGTACACAAACTAAATCAGTGTAGTAATATCTACTAAAAACAACAGTAATCACCTTTGGGAAAACTTTGATTTGTGCTTTGAATTTTTAGTTTGGCTCATGTTCCATCTGCTAACATGGAGGGGGTGGGGTTTATAACCTTTCCAGGGACCAGCCACCATTTTATCCAGCAAAATTTTACCAAGCCTATATAAACAGTACATTTTTGTGAAGGCCTATGGCACAACCTTTGACCCCTCAACTCAATATTACACGCCTCTAAAAGGATATCACTCAGACATCAATGTAGGCTAGGTGTCATTGGATCAAACCGGATAATTTAAAAGTAAAAATAGCTAGTGGTGCATACACAATTGTGGAAAATATATCACTGAAGGCCAGGTCTGAGTTATGGGAGTAATTTGTTGTGGTTACATACAGCAGAACACGTCAAACTCAAGGCCTGCGGGCCAGATCCAGCCCGCCGGATCATTTTATATGGCCCTCGAAAGCTTAAAATGTATATACATTTTAAGCTTTTATTTTAAGACAACCATATGGTTGTCTTAAAATGAAAGCCTATACTAATCAAAAATGTACACTGACCTTTACATCTCTCACAATGTACGTTGATTTCGGGACCTGCGAAGTATTGGCATTCTGCCACTAGATTGCAGTGTTTTGCCTTCAGCATTTAACCAGCAATTTCCCAACAAGTAGAAATGAGAAATACCAACAATTAATCCCAAAATGTCCAAGAAGATAAACGTTGATGCAGAAGGAAGGCAATTTAACGAAATCTGGGAAAGCAAATATATGCTTCTGCTTCAAGGAAAAAAAATGGTATGTCTTTTGTATCATGAGGCGGTGTCTGTGGTGAAGGAGTACAGTATGCGTTGGCATTTTGAGACCAAACACGGAGATTTAGCCTCCAAGAAAAACAACAAATTGTTAAAGAATTAAAAGACAGACTAATTGCAGCAGGAAATGTTCAAAAAAGCTACAGCAAAAAATGATGCAGTACTTTGTATGTGTAGCAATATTCTTATTTTGCTTGATGTTATTGTTGAAGAAAAAATATTTCAAATTTATTTTATTGAGGAAAAAGCTGTTCAAATTCATATTTCTGGTTAAACCATTTTAGACTGTTTAATAAATGTTAATCCTGTTTGGCCCGCAACTTAGACTGTGGTTTATTTTTCGGCCCCTTGTGTGATTGAATTTGACACCCCTGCAGTAGAACATTATCAGTAGCTTTGCTGCTTGTAAAAAGTGCTAGAAAGTGTTATTATTTGATAGCTGCAAGGTAGGCACTTTGTCACCAAGGAAGTAGCTGCAGGAGGGCGGGTGCTGTGTCAATTGACAGATACATTTCCAAGAACTCAACTCTTAAGCACTTTAAAGTAAGTGACTGTGTAGCTTAAAGTCTATTTTAATTACGGGTACAGGTTAGGTCTGGATTTTATTTATAGAAAACTGCACATAAACAGTCAGGTCCGATATCGAGCTATGTGTGTGAGAGGCGAGTGTGGGTTTGCAAAACTAGACCCATGCAGGACTCTGTGTCACGTTGTCCATCTTTCTATACACTATATAGTCAAAAAACGAAATCTCCTCCAGGATAAATGCAAGACTGACATAAAAACATAGTAAGTGCTGGCAATGGCAATGAGACATTTCAACAAAACAATATTACACACAAAAATGCTTTAGTGCACATACAAAAAACTATCTTAAGTACTCCCATGCCACAAGAGTAGAGCTAAAGGACAGCTTCACACAGTGACAAGCATGAGACAAAAGTACATTCCAATTCAATACAATGGGCTACAGATAACCTTCAGGGATGAAGGACTTTAAGGCTAGTGCCAAAACTCCCCACTCATGTTACAAAGCTTTTCAGTAAACTGAAGTATGTATCCAAATGCACTTAGATTATGTGCTTCATAGCATCTGTGTAAATACAGTGAAAAATAAAACTTACAGCACAGTTACAGGTTTGAACTGGATTAATTAGTGTTGGGTGGCCATTCTAAATGAAACATCTTTTCATTAAAAATGATTTTCTGACTATTTTCTTACTAGCTTTATTGAAATAGTCTAATTTTCTGTTGTGTTAATTGGTTGGACAGTAATATGGTTTACGGCAACAACAATACTAACTGCATTACAGAGATGTCAGCCAGTGATAATTATCAACTAACCTCTTGACCTCTGGCAAAAACAGTAATTTGCTCTTGATTTTCTACTTTCTACACTTGGACATAAAATATATACTAGAATAATGACCTTATCTAAACTGAATTACAGGAGTGGTGTCCCATTCTATAGCTAATCCAGTTCAAATACAAGTGTGGTAACAATGCAGCTCTGTTAAATCCATGTCTAGGTTATGATATCTATCAGTCCATCTTAAAAACTTGGAGGATATCTGGAATTAGCTCCCTTGATGCTAGTTTACTGGAATAAAAACAAACTTTCTTTGAATATAACAGATGAATCTTTTGATATTTTGTCCAATACAGTAAGTAAAACAAAGATACAGTGAAATGTGTTGAATTTTACTGTGATATAAAAAAAAAAACTAGCTTGACATTTCAGCAAATGTTCATATAAAGAATGTGAAGGCACGTCACGCCATGTTGAATGTTGGGATGGGGACACCATGGTTGGAGATACGCACTATTTGCCTGCATACATTCTTGTTTTATTTGGCTAAAACTTTGCTTAAGTCTTTACAATCTCACTTTACTAACTGTGGTAATTTAGAATGGATAACGTTAGCTGACTTGTAGTGGGCCTAGAGATCCCATTGACAAAAGCAACAGACTGAAAAATGACTCTGCTCCCTAAACTCAGCTCTCAGTTTGGTAGCTAAAGCTACAGTAGCTAGCAGCTGTTGGCAGATGACACAAACACTGCAAATGAATCCATTTATGTCCTGTCTGTGCTCAAACTGACCAATAAAGTGGCTGTTTGAATGTAGCTGCTACTGTGTGGAGCTGTATGGGATAGTATTTTTTTAAAACTTTTAATTAACTTACAGATTTAAGTAGTGTATATTTCTATGCATGATCCCCCCAGAGTGGTGCAATTACCCAAAATTAAACACATCATAACAACTTCATATTCTCTGTAGCGTATTCCCTTACGGAGAGTACAAGGTTGATGCCACTCTTCAATATAAGGCTACAGCCAGCAGCCTGTTATCTTAGCAGTGCACAATCCCCTGTAAAACTAAAACATTTTTACAAAGGGATTATACAAACAAAATACAAAATATTAATTGGTGATCTTTGCTATGTTCTGACAGAGCCAGGCTCACTGCTTCACATTATATGCTAAGTCAAGCTAACTGGCTACTGGCAATAACTTCATATTTATCATGCAGACACCTAACTCTTGGCAAGCAAGCGCATTTCCTAAAATGTCAAATGATTCCTTTAATTCATTTAATGGCTTTTAGCATCAAGTTTCTCCACATCACAGATTACAGCTGCTAAACAGTATGACAAATGATCTATTGGAGATAGTCTGTGCAGAAGTTAGCTGACAAGCTGATGGAGCCTCCATGCAGCTTAACCATATAACCTAGATCACATAATATAAACAATGCTGATTAGGGTTGTTTTAATAAATATACAACACCACCACCCCTATGACCACCTGTCTATTAAAACCTGAAAAAGGTTTACATTTTTTACAGTGATGAAATAAGCTTCAGGACTGGTCAAGTAGAAACAGGTAACTAAAGCACCTGCTGGCAGGAAAAAAACACATCACCATTGATTATGTTCCATCAATCCAGAACATATCTGGTACATTCACTGTCACTTCTTTGCTATTTATCCTAGCCAGCTGAGGTACACCTAACACTGCTTTGCCAAACTGTTGGATTCCCCTCTCAGATCTTAGTCCTTTTCTTCAATATATCATGAGGTACTGTACAATTCACAAACGCTTTCCTGAGTTTTATTTGTTACGTTTGTTTTGCAGACACAGGATCGGAAGGGAAGAGTGTGTATCAGGGCCCAAACTACTGCCACCCTAATGGATAACTGCTTTTAAAGAATGACTACCAACAGCAAAGGTGCCTCACCGCTGAAATTTTAAAGCTCTTGATAAATATCAGCTCATGCTATGGATGTAGATTGTGAGGCAAATAACCCAAAAAAGAAAATCAGAAAGCACCACTTCAGGCACTTGGATAGCCAAACTAAGTTTCAAGAACAGGAATGTAACAATATATACACAGACACTGGGGGCATCTGTCATCTGAAGCCAACTTGCTTGCAATGTATAAGCAATGCCTAGCCTTCTGGAGTGTCAAATGTCCAAATTAAAATTCTTGGTCATTAACTGCAAAACTGCCATTTGTCTCCTCAAACCAGGTCTCTTGGTGCATCTAAAACCTGCTTGTGAGAATTCAGCAGGCTTGTGTTGGCCTTCTGTGTGCCTTTCCCTCCAGCACAATGCTTCTGCCCTTAGGGAAGCAACTGTGGATGCCTCATTTACTCAAGGGCAGAATCTATGTTTTCACTGGCTGCAGCCAAACATTTTGTTCCACTCAGTGCATGTGTCAATCTCTTTCTGTGATATACTGGCTTGGAATTTACAAAAGACATTCTCAAAGTCCTGGTAGGTGATTGGCCTGATCTGTCCCCTGGGCATCATCCCTGTCATGTCTATGCCCTGTGCAGAGACATGTAACAGACCTACAAGGGCCTCCTGGCAGAGTCTGGCCAGATCCAGTCCGGAGAAACCTTCAGTACGCTGGACCAGCAGCACCAGCTCCTCCTCACTCAAACAGTATTTGTGCTGAGATTGGGCCAGGAGCTGATTCACGATCTGGTGTCGAGCTGCGCTATCTGGCAGGGGAACCAGGACCCTACGAGTAAAGTACCTACACAGCCCTTTGTCCATGTCTTGGGGTCTGCTTGTGGAGCAAACCACCAACACTTGGCTTCCTCCATCCTCGCCAGAGCCCATAAGCAGTGCGTCCAACTGAGCAAGTAGCTCCCCTTTCAGACGGTTGATGGGACTCTCTTCACTGAGGTGGGCCGACAGCAGCATGTCAACCTCACTAATGAACAGTACTGAGGGCTGCCGGCAGCGTGCCACCAGGAAGGATGCTCTGATAATTTTTTCTCCTTCTGCCAGCCACTTGGTGGCCAGTGTAGAGCCACTTAGCTGGAGGAACGGTGCCCCCAGCTGGCTGGCCAAGCAGCGACCCAGCAACGTCCTGCCACTGCCCCTAGTACCTAACAGCAGTACGCAGTGTGGGGCTGGACCTAAACTGCTGAACATGTCTGGGCGAAGAATGGGCCACAGGACTTCCTCCTTCAGGGTTGCTTTGGCCAGTTCTATACCTGCAATGTCACTCCAATCCACTGGGGGGCCCTGCCGAACAATTTCAGAGGTAACCATGTCTAGGACGTGGGGGTCACTAGTTTTTAACTGGTCTTCAGCTGGCCGGGAAGAAGAAGTGGATGGGGAGGAGGTAGGCCCTGTTCCTGAGTGGGACAGATGGAGACGGTGATCATCAGCACCTTGCTCACTTAGGGAGGGGGAGGTGAAGCTGGCAAGTGAGTCTGCTGAGCGGGAACCACCCAGGCTGGAGGAGACATAGGCCGGTGGAGTCAGTGGCCCACCTGCTGCCTGGCTGCTGTACTTCCTCTGCTGCTGCTCTGATGGCTTCTGAGGATTGAAAGGTAAGGATGACTTTTCTGCACTCCTGTCAAACCCACCACTGCTGGCACTGCTGGAACCTCCATTTGCACTGCTGCTGTCTGCTACCCTATACATGGGGCTCTCAGCTGAGCTCCGAGCCTGGCCATAGCCAAAGTTACCATAAGAGGAGTCTATTTCTCCTTGGCCTGTCATGTAGAAGGCTTTCCTTTTCAGCAAGTTGGAGGAGCTACTGTTGAGAGGGGTGGGGGCGATTGGGGTCAGGTTGTGGCTCTGGTATGGGTATCCAGGTAAAGAAGAAGAGGGGGGGAGGGGTGTAGGTGCCGCAATACCTGAGGGGAGGTATGAAGAAGGAGGTGGTGCTCCTCCAGGGCTGTATCCTGGCCCGACTGAGCTCTGAGCTGGGTAGCCTGCCGGAGGGTAATTATAACTAGACAAGTTGGGGGAGCCTCCGTTGTAAGCTGGGACTAAAGTGGGGTGAGAGGGCAGTGGAGGGGGCGGCTGCAGGAGCCCAGCGCTGTGCAGTGGGGAGGGAAGAGCTGGGGCAGGGGCAGACTGGGAGGTGTAACTACTATGCAGGTAGGAGCCGCTGTATGCAGGACCATATTCCTGAGAGGGTATGGAGGAGGAGTGGAGAGCGGTGGCAGCATGGTTGCCACAGCTGCTGCTGGAGTAGCTGGGCTCACTCAGGGTGCTGGAGGCCAGGCCTGGGGAGCTGCACATGCCAGACACCACCTCTGAAGCTGCCGCCACTCCTCCTTTTCTGACCGAAACCCCCTCTGGGATGCAGCTCATGGGGTAGACACCATCCTGCCAGGGTTCGGATTCCCCTTTCCGTCCATTCATCACTCCTGGGACACCAGGGGCCTCAGAATATGAGCCTGGCATCTCCAAAATGCCAGAATACTTCTCAGCATACTTCTTGAGCAGGTTGGAGGCAGTCAGGGCTGAGATGTCGTCATTGGCCCAGGCGTACTGGTAAGTGGCAGAGCGCTGCAGGTGGCCAGGCACTGCTCTGTAGGCCTCAGCCTTGTGGGCTGGTGAGCGCGTGGTGGAGGAAATGTCGAAATGCTGTTCAGCCCACTGGCTGTGCTCGGGGGTCCACTGCATCTTTAAGCCTAAGAGAACAAGAGACAGACAATCACACATGAACAAAATCATTTTAGCAATAATTAGATGACATCACCTTCAAATTGCCTGGCCTGTAGGGTGGTCAATTAATAAGGTGACATTTAGTAGGAGACTTGTTTGGTGTGGTAGTCTATTTTTTTTCTTCCTAAAACCTACAGTGCCTTGCGAAAGTATTCGGCCCCCTTGAACTTTGCGACCTTTTGCCACATTTCAGGCTTCAAACATAAAGATATAAAACTGTAATTTTTTGTGAAGAATCAACAACCAGTGGGACACAATCATGAAGTGGAACGAAATTTATTGGATATTTCAAACTTTTTTAACAAATAAAAAACTGAAAAATTGGACGTGCAAAATTATTCAGCCCCTTTACTTTCAGTGCAGCAAACTCTCTCCAGAAGTTCAGTGAGGATCTCTGAATGATCCAATGTTGACCTAAATGACTAATGATGATAAATAGAATCCACCTGTGTGTAATCAAGTCTCAGTATAAATGCACCTGCACTGTAGAGGATTTTATGTCCAGCTACACAAGAATTCCACATTTCTAGAGATCATAAGGAGGACAGTGTGTGTGTCAGCAGGTGTAGTGTGGTACAGAGGGATGGTGGGATGGCTGGTTACGGCTGCCTAATGCACCCTGGCCAGACCAATAAGACAGAGGCATTGAGGGTCACTCTATAATCCTAGGCTCATCTGACGTGGCTGGAGATGGGTTTGAAAATGCGTCTCACCGAGTGCCACAAAGCAACACACACACACACACACACACACACACATCCACTGCCCTCTCCTCATAGTGCTTTCATCTAACATACACACATGAAAACCCACAAACCTGTGCTCAGACACACAGGTTATCTGTGCCTGCACTCAGGCATGCTGGTGCGCACACACACACAAGCTCGCACCCACTGACCCAGACAGACAAACACAGGCACACACAGAAGAGCTGTATCGAGCTATGAATTACAACACACTGTGTCTCAAGCTTAGTTCCTGTCTGCACAGCTCCACCTTGACCTCTTCTCTCTCTCCCGTGCTCTCTGCCTTTCTGTCTGCCTCTCCATGCCTCCCTGCTGCCTTGTCTTTTTTGTCATCCATTTTCCACCTCCCCTCCTGCTAGATCCTTCTTTATTTCTCTCCTCACGCCCTTTTATTCTGACTCTATTTCTGATCTATTTCAATACACATATCTCTTTTGTTCATTCCCTTTCTGCTCTCTCTTCTCTTATTTACTTCCTCGGTGCTGGCTTTGCCTCCTTCCCTCCCTCCTTCCTTGTTCCATCTCATCTCAGACACACTCACCTGGCTCTCCCCTTTATTGCCTCATGAGGCTGGAGAGCCACTGTTTCTTCTAATCCCAGTCAATGCCATCTGCAAACACAGAGTCACACAGCGACTCCATCGTTGTCTCACTATCAAAGCTGTGGCGCTATCAAAGACTGGACGGGGCGCAAACACAGCAGCCGCACGGCAGATTGAACCCCGTTTGATTTGACTTAGTGCAAACAAATAAAGGATAATTTCAGTGTCATTTAGGCTGCTTCCTCTGACTTATTGACTGGTGGTGGTTGCATGTAGAGATCCACAGTTGGGAGTCTAGTGAGTAATGTCTGCTTGAGAATTGGTTTGTGTGTGGTTTTGTGCTTGTGTGAATACAGCAGGCATGCACAATCAAATCTGTTCACAGAGGAGCAAATCCTCCCATCCATTTCTGCTACTGCAAACACAGACAAACATGTTCACACTCACTTGCTCTTTTTTTTTTTTGAGGCCCTGTGTTTGTTTGGTAACAACACAGGGAGGGAGGGGGGAATCCCCAGACTCCTATTTCCTCTCTGATTCTCCTTCGTCTCTAGCCATTTCTCGGCATACGCCAGTGGCTAATTAGCAGAATGGCGGTCTGCTAATTGTGTTAATTTACAACATTTTAGCCGAGGGGAGTCTAGCAGGGGCTGGCAAGCCTGTCACCCTCCCAAGCAAGAAACACCTCAAACAAAGAGCCGAGCCAAGGGAAGTTTTGTATTCTTTGGGAGGCTGGAAAAGTGAGAGTATACTAAGTGAAAACTGTTATAAAACAACAAAAAACAATATTGCTGTGAGATTTTTAAAAAATTGGTGCTGACAGTAAAAATTGACTTTACAATTTAAGTGTATGTTTCATGTGAATACATATCTACTGCTTAGACATTAACACTGAAAATCTTTTGTATTCAGCTGTGACTATTGTGATTCTTCAACATAAGTAGTGATTTCAATGACAGTAAATAAAATGTGCACATGAAAGCTCTATTTACTCTGCTGCACATGGGCAGAGCCAAGGGGTCAGGGGGGCTGATATCCCTGGCCAGGAGTACATACGTTAGTTAGCTAAAGAAAGCAATTTGTGTGTCTCATTTTGACACAGAATAAACAATCTGACTCTTAATCATGCTTAATCATGTGTGATTTATTCAAATTCAAATTTATTTGTATAGCACTAAATCACAACAAAAGTCATCTCAGGACACTTTACAAAGTAAGGTCTAGACCTTACTATTGTTAATATTATAGAGGAAAACCCCTTGAGCAAGCAGTTGGCGACAGCGAGGAGGAAAAACTCCCTTTAACGGAAGAAACCTCCGACAGACCCCAGCTCTTGGTGGGCGGCCTTCTGCCTCGACCGGTTGGGGTGAGTGGAAAGAGGAGAGAAAAAAGAAAAGCAACATGACACAACAAACACAACAGCAAATAATCAAGCACTGGGCAGGTCGATGTGGCCGGTGAGAAATAGGAGTTTAATTAACTTTTTACTTATACTTCAAATCTGCCACCCTTCTCTGAGTCTCCGCCCCAGCCTGGCCACCCCATCCAAAATGTTCTAGATCTGCCTTTTGCATTACTACATACTGTCATACAGTATATAGCTAAGAAGAGTCAACACAAAGTGGCAAAGGCTATAAAACAGGGTTGTGCACAGAGAAATGACTGGAAAAAGTTGAGTAGAGGAAGTGAGGGAGAAAAATACCAGGCTGGAGAGAATAGATCCGGCTAAATAAAACCAGCCTCCATGTAGTTTGACACTCCATCAAACTCTGATGCATCCTCCAACATAAATCATCCAATTCCATCATTAATAAAGTTAACATATATAGAAGAGTGTGTCAGCCTCCATCAGGACTTTCATCTCTTCTATAATGAGGTTAATGCAGAGACACAGTGATTACCCCAGCAATGCAAATGAAGGCTAAATGATAACATGCACTATTTAAATAAGGTAATAGTGATTACTCTACGTTATTCAAATGAGGTCAGATGCTTTGAACTGAGCACCATGAACTTGCTGCTCCTTCTCTAAAACATATGGAAGAGGAGGGACTTTGGTATCATTCAGGATGTATCCTCTAATTCAATGTGATGTAAACCAAGGGCAATGAGCAAAGCAAAGTTGCTTAATGGGCAGGGTGACTTCCTACTGATGTTGAAAGCCTTGAAAGTCACTGAATTCACTGTAAAAGTGTAAACAAAAAAAGCACAAATATCCACTGTAGTCTTTTTCTTTTTGAATGTTAATTAAAAACACCTAAACATTCTGTTATTTGCCTGTGATTAAAGGTGCTTACAATTTTTTGATGTGATATTTTAATGATTTTTTTAAAAACCTTTTTTCATTAAATGACAATGATTACCTTAGAAGAGATTAGCTTTAGCTTTAAAATAAGAGCTATATATTATATTTGGGGTACATACAATAGCAGATTTATTTTCTATTTTATTTTTTGTTTGTTTGATTATAGAGTTTTGAATTTTTTCTTTTCAGCAGTATTCTACAGTTTTTATGTTTTTTTCTGGCACCCCAGCTGCCAGGTTATCACTTTTCTTATACAATGATTTTTTTTACAGTGTATTTAAGATATGAAAAGAATTCTACTATGTGTGGAGCCCAATTTTCCCAAGCTTTTATATTGAAATAAGTGTGTTTTGGCAGTAACATGTAGTTAAAAGCTTTGTACAAACTTTCTTAAAGAGTAGCTGAATTCTTTCCATTTGTTCATTCAAATTTTTTATAGTATTCTGATGGAGCTGCAAGGTTACAGCGCATTTTCTCTACAATCTTTGAAGGGTTTTAAGGCTTAAGGGAATTTGCAAAGCTTTCTATGGACACGTGCAGTAAGATGTGAACAAAAAAAGCAAGAGCATGTTTGTGTTGCAGTGAAAGAGGGAGGGTGAGAGCTCATGCACTCAGCTGAAAAAACATCCAACAGAAATCTTCTTCACCTTCTGAAGCATTAAGTCTGCCAGAGCCCCCCCAGCCTCCACATAGAGAAGCCTAATCATTCTCATTACACTTGGCGTCCATCTGCATCAACAGAACTGCCTGTTACTGTGCGTGTGTGTATGTGCAATAAACAGATCTTTAGAGAGAGCTAATGAGCTCTTTTAAGTCTGTTTGCTGTGTGATTCTGCAAGCAGGGTGTCAGAGCAAACTGCCCATTTTGGTAACGTCATAATTAAGCTCTGTGTGTGTGTGTGTGTGTGTGTGTGTGTGTGTGTGTGTGTGTGTGTGTGTGTAGAGATGAGATGCCAGCACACACGATGCCAACATGCCTCCATGTACTCAGTCTAAGACATTCAAATGTGTGTGCCCTTATTTGTCTTTGTAACATAAAGAGACACGAAGACCTTCAAAACCAACCCTGTCATATTCTTTTTAAAAACCTATTTCATTGTCTCCAAGGGAAGTGTATAAGGAGCTGCGTGACAGACGATGGCTTCATCAAGAGAGACCTGTTTTCACACACCACTGGGGAAATCTAACCAGCCAGTTATTCAAATCCCTATCAAATACACCAGAGGGCATCTTTTAACCTCTAAAACACTGCACATGTGAAAAACCTGATTGAGCCGTATATTGTTTTATATGTGTGAGTATTTTCATGCGCACAGGCCTTCTGTGTGTTTGACAACCTTGTAATGAGTCCAGCACACTGTGACTAAGCCATGG